CTACTCTCAGCTTCTATCTATTTGTGATGTTGCCCTATCTTTATCTAGTGCCACTGATGATATTTACCTTACAGTTGAGACAATTGAATTATACTGGTCTCAGCTTTTTTACGATTTTTGAAGATCTATCTGTAAGTTGGTTACTAATGATTTTTCTAAAACTGCTAACAATTTTATGGTTTATCATCCTTATTGCTTAGATAAGCGGCTTGGAAGTTCAGCTTTTCAATAATGTCTAATTTGACTCCGATTTATTATGAAAACTAACTTCTATATATTTAGAATGCTAATCGATCACATATTTGAACATACGTATATAGTTAGACAAGACTACTCGATCGATTTTCATGGACAACATTATCTTAATTTTCGGAGAATAATTCCTGTTGAAAATTTACTTCGGTGTCTTTCTTATCTGTAACCTTATTGAATGCATACTCTTGTGTGGAAATCGACCCAAGGATCTTTATGTTTTGTAGCCAGTATTTTATTATGTGCTCACTGGTGATTAGCTTTGAGATGGATTACCTGAAGTTCTAATGAAAAGCTGTAGCCTGTCGAGTCAGTCATGTCAGTATTAAGGCAGTCACTTACCGATAAGATTGGATAAGGATCGCTGGTTGAGTATATCTGAGCATACGGACCACTGAAGTTCAAATCAATGGCTCTAAACTATAGTGCTTTCCATAAGGTTTGATGGTTCTAGTTTCAATAAGCACTGCAAGACAGTCTTAAACTTACATCATTCTGTGATAAAAATTTCCTCAACAGAATATAAAACATTTCCACATGACTATCACACTAAATAAACTTCGTTTGTTCATTATTAGTGTCTGATATATTATACGTGTTTGTCCATCTATTAGATTGTTAACAGTAAGTTTGAGTCCAGAAAAGAATATATACGTTATACGATATTTCACACTTGATTCTAAAGATTTCTTTTCCAACAACCCAAACAATATGGACATTATTTACTCATATTTTCTGTTGTTCTGTCAATGAGTATTTCTCACTAAATTAATGGCGTGTTACTGTTTTTAAGCACATTTTCAATTCTTTCATATTAGAAAATTACTTAGTAGAGTATGTGTAATAATATAAATTAGTTTGTGTGTGTCTATATGTACCACACATAGTAATCTCTTCATTCAATCAGTCAATATTCGTATATTAATAGGTCTTTACTTTTTAATAAACGTATTGTGTGTGAACACAATTTGTTACAATACTAATAAAGTCTTTGGCGTGTGCCTAAGATTATTAATTGTTTGCCAGTATTGTCAATATGGTAATAGACTCAAAACATTTTTTTTCTTAAATCATACCAAAAGTTTAACAGATCAGTTTAAACAAGCAATAGATTTAAGCATTAAATTATCTATATTTTTAGAAATTCATCTTTTAGAAACTTTATTGAATGTAAAGCACATTTTGAAGGATAATATTTGTATGTATCTTAAATTGTAGTTCTTCATAAGAGCAAAGAACTATTTTTAGCACTAGAAAGGGTTGATATTAAGTACTGAAGAAATAATAGGGTGTAACAAAGGAAATGTAACGTGAACGAGGTAATCTTGAGTGAAGTTGGAGGTATGTTGGTGGCTGTTGCTTCTCGATCAGCCACACTATTAAAGGATACTCCTGCTTGAATTACCTAAAAAGAAAATTGTGTTAGGAGTACTAGTCTTAACCACCTAGAAGTTTGAACTCCAAGCCGAAGGGACACCTGTTACTCAGCCTTTTATCTAGTAGTTCTTGATATGCTGAGTTTGTACTTCAAAGGCCTCACCTCCGGCGGCGGAATTCCGTGGGCCAGGGTGAGATTTGATATTTTGAGAAGGCGACATCAATACAGATACCATTTATCCTATTGAAGTACCTTTGTGACGTTACAGCCCCATGATAGCCAGCAGTACGAATTCCCCTCCATACATTAAGTTGCTGCTTTTAGTCCTATCACTCTCCAACTGATCTGCCTGGTTCGATAGAACCTAAATCAACAAGTGTCCCTGCCAATATAGCTCAAATAGACCACCACGAGAAGCGACCTTGACCTCCGTGCTAAAGTAGCAACTGTACTCCGGATCGCAGTGGAAGATGTTTCTGTTGAACTATTTTGACTGAAATTAACTTCCAACATAAATGAATTTTTAGTAACCACCTAATTCGTCCAAATTTCGGCTGTGGTTCAAGTTTAATTTATCATACAAGCGTATGTTTTGCTTGCTTACACCATACTAGAAATTCGTATATGAATTACCATGTTTAACCAATTGGTCATTTTTTAATGAAATTGTTGCACCATAGGTTCATGATTACTTTGAAGTCTGTTCACTGGTTGTACCATTGTAGCTTTAGTTTGTAGTGTGGCGTCGAGTTGCAATCGACTATGATCACCACTACAGGAAAGTTGCGTGCCAAAATATCAGAAGGGAATTGAAGGTTGTAGAGATATATGTTTGTTGGTGATCTCGTAGTATCGAAAGAATACCGAGATCGTACCAAAGGAGTACAAGCGAATTTACTGAACAAACGTAAGTTCGCGCAAGGTCACAATCAACGGAAGAAAGAATGGAAGAATAATGGATGTCTTTAGTACAGTTAAAAAAACAGGCACAGTAAAACAATCACTGGTACAATTGGTTATAATAATAATTGTTTCCATTAAACCAATCGCGTTCTCTTTATATAAGTAGGTCACAACAAGTTCATTGTCGATTTTGAAAAAGATTTCTTCCACTTAATAATTCTCTAAATGTATGGATTTTAAAAATTTATCCTTTATAATAAGATGATTTTTATTTGTTTGAATATTCTGCACAAGTCAGTTCACTTGGAAGACAGTCTTCACCACGTAATTCCATCACTTTTAAGATCCGTGTAAATTAAATAGTATAAAACCAACCACTTATTTTTAGCCTATGACTCAGTAGTACGTAGCTACAATTTTAGGACTTGGGATTAAACGATTTATCTTTATATCATACAATTTTTCCTACTGATAAATTTGAGTAAAGCAAAATTCACGAACACAGTAGAATAACATGAATGCAGCTTATTTTGTCTTTTCTATTCAGCTGCTTGTAACCTAGAATTAATTATACAAATTATTTGCAAAGCAAAATACTGTACATAGTTTATATTATAATAGTATCAGAAATGTCTCTATCGATGAGAATCAATAAGACTGTTATAAACTATAAAACAATTAGAAGAGTTATTAGAGTAGTTAAGTCTTGAGGAATGCTATTAATTCTAAGCTGTGAGTGGTTAAAGTGAAGCCACAAAATAAACTGAGTTCATGTTATTCTGATATGTTTGTTGTTTTTTGATATATTACAATAATCACGCGATTCAGTCTATGAGTAACTGTTCCATACTTATCATAAGTAATCTCTTCTAGTCATGACTTTTCACTAAAATTTTGTGTGGTTAAGTGGTTTAAGAAATTTATTTCTATCTGAAAATACCACTGTTTTCAATAATTTTTCGTCTACAACCAGTTTACAACAAAAATCAACTTCACAAATTGTTTTTTTGGAAGGGGGGAATTTTAAAAAAGCTCACAGTTTATATTATCTCACCGACATTGAATAAAGAATAACCAAGAAGCTTGTAAGTATTAGATAAGTCGCAATCTAATACTCATAATTTCTGCATATTATCTCTCTTATTTACTAATTACAATTTCAAGTGTCACTTTATAACCACATTATAGTTGTGTGTTGTCCCTTCGAACTCTGTTAATCCATCATGCTTGATGTTCCAAAACCAATTGAAATGAACTATTCAATTTTCATTGTACGTTTCTCTAGTTGCTTGGTTTTTTTTGGAAGAATGGTCAAATTACTATCTTTAATAGTTTTCTCGTTAGTTGGTATTGAAAACTTATTTTTTATCATCACATGAATTCGGAGATTGATCTATTTTCATAGGTTAATAATGTAACTTCAAGTCAGTTAATAGAAAAGTTGTATGTATCATTACTTGTACACATTTAACTTGATGTATGTACTATCTTATGCATTTCAAAAAGAAATTTCAGAAAATAACTTCCCATTAGTAAAATGAATAACAACAGTGATAAAAAAAATGTAGAAAAGTTAGCGTAGATCTACATTTCAGTAGTCCTGAACAATCTTTGCTTTTTTCAGATTTAATTGAAACTTACTTTCTAGTGGCTAGGAACTTTTACACTAAGTAACAAAGAAGTAAACTCTGTATGGTTTTAAGTAATTCTTTTTATGTTCCATACAAATGAGAGATACGTTGGGAAAGCCATCGAATGAGTGCTTTTAAAGTTAGGCGTACGGTTATAAAAAAAATTGATTAGTTTGCGGGCTGAACCTTTTGGGATATACATCCCAGTCAACTGTCAAAAAATAATGCTCGTCACCAGTTGACGTCACCTAGTGAAATATTGTGGACCTAGCCTACGGTTATTCATCAGTACATTACCACTACTCCTAAATAGGAATGACCCAAGGATATTCAGGGTATGCAGCAAGTTATTACAGTAAAACAAGGTACTTTGCAATATTCTTATTTTCTTGCTGGGTGTTGTTGCAGATTATTTACATTATCGTAAATGAACTACTTAAATCTCTGCATATTTCTCATCCTCTCATATTTAAAACTCCATAGTTTACCAGCGTTTTTGTAACATTAAGGCTTGTACAGAGCTGAGACCCTTGTTTAAAAATATATTAAACGTTTCTTCAAGTGATTTATATAGGTGTAACTGGTTGATAAGGAAGAAATTATTTGTCTTTAAAAAAAAGTCCTCATCAATTTTTTTCCTGTTGACAAAATCCACTTTTAGCAAGCTAGTCAATTATCAGGTATAAAGAATATCTCATAATAAATCTTGTTGTTTCTAACCACAAACACTTTGAACGCCTCAAACTAGTTATGATCACTTTCTACGAGTTTTTCAAAGTTGTGGAAAAAATCAAGCTTTTGTTATTTAGTTATCTTTTTTTGTATCTTCTCTCTAGACTGTTATTTTTGATGTACTAATCAACAGCTCAAATGTTCAAGAAGTTGCCTCTTAATTGAAATGAGTGTATTTGAACGTCTTCAACAAAGATTGGCCAAGTGTTCCACATCTTCTCGCGGTCAAGAAACTGCACAGATTTATCATAAAAATAAGTCAACTTCAGAACAAGCTATTTTTTTGGATGGTGTAGTTACAACAACTGATGATCGTTCAACAACAAATACCCTTCCATTATGCCATAATCATTCACAAACTTGGAGTGTTGAATCTCGTATGGCTTCCATGATAGCTAATAGCTATTCAAACCCATCTCTGCACACAGTTGGAACAGTTAATTCCAAAGGTGAGGCAACTCCGGATACGGAAATTGATGTGCCAAAGTCAAATTTGAGTCACAGTCAAGATCATTTGAATACACCCAGTAATAGTTCATATCAACGTCAACCACAACAACCTAGAAGAAAACGAGCAAAAACCCCGGTTAGTTCTTTCTATCGTGTTAGCAGTGATGATGATTGTGATACATGCGATGAAGATGAAGAAGACGATGTTGACAATAATAATAATAATGAAGAATACCTGGATCAGTGTGATGATTTAATTATCAAACAATCTGCTGCATTTGAACGTAGATCACAACGTCTACGTCGTAGTATTGATCGGGCTAAAGCAGCTTTACCTGCTGATTTTGCTGATCGTATTGAGATCTCAGATTCACTTGGTGATTTACCTAATCAAGAATCGTCCAGTGGGGCACAACTTCAAAAACATCATCGGAGTGTTAGCAATCTTGGTGTAGATTTAACTGATCAATTAAGCAATCGTGATTCAGATTCTGAAGAAAATGTAAATAATAGTAATAATGTAAACGGACACTATGAGTCTCAAGAAACCTCAAACTCAAATGAAAATCGTACGAAATCAATTATAAAAGAAGATAAATATTCAGAAGTTAGTGATGCATTCAAAATGAAATCAACTGATTTGGTAATACCAAATGAGTAAGTACTTTAAAAAAAGAAACATTTTGTTATTCAATTACTTGTGGAATTATTTGATTTAAAATTGAAGTTATACTAAAGATTGTTGACAGTTCTAGAAATATCAATTTCTGATAGATGATGGGTGATGCTAAAACTTTAACTGATTATTCATTAAATGTTTTAGTTATTAGTCTCAGAAGGGGTTTTGTGGAGATTGTAGTAATTTCAATAGTTGAGATCATAAGATCATGGTGGTCTAGCTTCAATTGACTCATGATCTCAACTATTGGTTTTAGTTATTAGTTAAAAGCTATACGAAAATATTTCAAATATGTATGATGCCTACTTTTGTTAAGAATTTTCTACATTATAAATGGGAAACACTCATTCAGACTCAAAACAAAAAAATAGAGAGAGTGGTTCAGCTAAGATATCTCTTCGACTATTATCTTGTCAGGGCTATTTAACAGTGAATATCCACTGATTGTTTGAAAAACCAATCATTGACAATCTCCTCCATGTTTTGTTGATGAGAATAATTTTCGAAGATGGTAATGGAGTTAACATAATGTTTAATATGTTATTCTTATTGAGAAAATAAATTTAGAATTGTTATTGGATCCGAAGGTTAGCCAAAGATACCATGGAAACTGGATAAGACTATTTACCTATGATAATGTATTCTATCACGTGATAAGATTGATTTTAAATTGAAATGTACTAAAAAAACATAAAATAAATAAGAAACCAATTCGGGATAACAATTTGACAACGGGTATCAACGGCTTAATGGTTAAAGCGTCCAGAACTCAGCTAGCCACTAAGTAACAGATACGAACCACGATCCACTCTGGGTTTAGCAATCAAATAGTATCGCTTGACTTCTTCACATATTTAGTATAGCTCAGAATCGTTTAAACAAGCATACACTTGACAAGTGAGTTCCATTAATCCAAAGCTTGAATAAGTTATGGTTTTTAAAATAAAAGAATAAAATAATGGGAGGGAGAACTGTTGAATAGGTTTATTTGGTAAACAATATACATGACAAAAACATTAGGGATGCAGATGTCGTAAATATGCACTCTTTGTCCGTCGCAACCAAATAACCGGTGTTAGTAAGATACCCTGTTACTCCACTTTTAATTATATGAAAGCCTCAAGTATTGCGTTTTGGATGAATAAATTGGTAGACTAATGAATTTACACTAGAACTCGCTTACATCACAATTTCAATGTAATTTATAAAATTGTAAGATAATTTTTATTGTCTAGAAAAATTTGTGATCACTTAGTGCATTACATAATGCTGTTTATTTACTTTATAAAGAATAGGTCAACATACTTATTCTGTGATATATATATATATATAGTTTTCAGTCTTGTGTTGATTTTCAATTCACACCGACAAATTCATCTTACAATTGGGCGGTAAATTTAAGTGAAATGTCCAGCATCTTTCTAGTTCATATATCTTGCTTACTTACGTTTTAAATCCATTATATGAGTGAAATTTTCGAATTATTAAAATTGCTGGGAAAAACAACCCATCTTCCATTTACCTTCGTAACAATAAAATCTTTTTATTAAGAACACTTAAATTTAAGATTCACTGTAAGTATGATAGGATGGTCTAATAAAATTCAATTAACCAGCTTTTCGATTGGTCAATACTATTGTATGCTATTGCTGATAGCATAGTAATAACGCTAAAATGTAGGTAATTGCTCTGTTATGGAATGATGACTAGTTAGTGCCTGAATTGAAAGTTTAGAAATCCAGTAGAGAATTATGAAAATATTACGAATTTTTGACTGGTGCCAAACAGTCTCATACAGAATTCAATTTTAAAAGTGAACTTCCAATTACTTTACGATGTTTAATAGTTTTCTTTACATGTATTAACCACTCACATACACCATTTGTATTCAACTTTAGTCTCTCCCTTGTTTTATGGAGGGATGAAACTTGTTGAGTTAATTGTCTAAAATATCCGATTGTTTCAGTATGAAAGCTAAAATTCAACCATATTCAAATGAAAACTGAGGTTAACATATGCTTTAATTCGTGATGAAGTTATTCAGTACTAAAGCACATAAAATCACAGTAGTTAAGTTCCCAATTCAACTGTCTCCTATTTTATACCATACAATGTTGGATATTATTTATTTTATTGTTGAGAATGAATATTGAATAGTGACTTGAAAATAATGACTCTACATTGGTCATTGACAATCATCATAAGAATTTATCTGGATACTCTGAACTATTGTACATTTTTCAAAATACAAATCTATGGAATTTATTACTATTAAAGCTTTTACTACAGGTTATAAATAGGCAAGTTAAACGACATTAATCACACTCGTTTATTGGTTTCTTAAGACTAAAAAATCGTCATGATAACGATTAGTCAACGTTTCTTTAGATAATACATAAACTGTGCATTGAAATCACCACTTCTAATGAATTGTAGTTTCAAATTTTGTCAGTCCATTTATAGTGACTTATTCATTTCATTTGATAATTGTAATTTAACTGCCAATCAATATCGAAACGTAAACAATAAGAATAAATATTTCAAAAAAAAATATGTGGTATCACTTTTACTCTATTCATGATTACAATCTCGGTGTTTCTAGTTGGGCATGGGGTTAGCGTCCCCATCCCGTAGAAAACTAACTCGCTAAAAAAACGCTTACCAGAAAAAATAATTCAAACCATTTTAACTCTGCCCTGAGAGTTAGAAGGTCTTCATTTAGAAGAATTATGACGCTTCATGGTGAAAGCCGAGTTCCTTCGGAAGCCACGAGGCCGATGCCCCTTCTAACAACCAGAGCAAAAATTTTTATAGGTACATGGAACGTCCGAACAATGTGGGAAACCGGGAAGACCAGTCAAATAGCAATGGAAATGAGGAGATACAACTTAGCAGTACTGGGGATCAGCGAAACTCACTGGACCCAAGCTGGACAGAAAAGACTAGCTACGGAAGAGATGCTGCTATACTCCGGTCACGAAGAGGAAAATGCTCCACACACTCAGGGAGTTGCTCTAATGCTGTCCAAAGTAGCACGAAATGCACTTGTAGGATGGGAATCCCACGGATCCAGAATCATCAAAGCATCATTCAAAACAAAGAAGGAGGGGATCTTAATGAATATTATCCAATGTTATGCACCCACCAATGATAGCAACGACGACATTAAAGATCAGTTCTACGAGCGGCTGCAGTCAGTCATTGAGAAATGCCCAAGAAAGGACCTCACCATTCTAATGGGAGATCTAAATGCCAAAGTCGGAATAGACAACATCGGATATGAAGATATTATGGGGCAACATGGACTGGGAGAGAGGAACGAAAATGGAGAAAGATTTGCAAATTTGTGTGCATTCAACAAATTAGTCATAGGAGGCACAATATTTCCACACAAGCGTATACACAAGGCTACATGGATCTCACCGGACCACACTACAGAGAACCAGATAGACCATATTTGCATCAATAAAAAATTCCGAAGGACAATGGAAGATGTGAGAACCAGGAGAGGAGCTGACGTAGCTTCTGATCACCACCTAGTTGTAGCCAATTTGAAACTGAAGCTAAAAAAGAACTGGACAAGTGGACAAACAGCAATACAAAGGTTCAATACAGCCTTCCTTCGAGATACTGTCAAACTCAATGAATTCAAGATAGCTCTCAACAACAGGTCCCAAGCCTTACAAGATCTACTGAAAGAAGAAGAAACTACTATGGAGGACAACTGGAAAAGCATCAAGGAAGCATTAACTTCAACGTGTCAAGAGGTTCTCGGTCTAAAGAAATACCATCATAAGGAATGGATCTCTACAGAAACACTGGACAAGATCAAAGAAAGGAAGAACAAGAAGGCAGCAATAAACAACAGCCGAACACGAGCAGAGAAAGTCCAAGCACAAGCTGAATACATAGAAGCAAACAAGCAAGTGAAGAGGAGCATTAGAGCTGACAAGAAGAAATACGTGGAAGAATTAGCAACGACGGCAGAAAAAGCTGCTAGAGAAGGAAATATGAGACAACTTTACGATACAACGAAGAAACTAGCAGGGAAATACAATAAACCAGAGAGGCCGGTCAAAGACAAGGAAGGCAAGCCAATCACTGAAATTCAACAACAGCGTAACAGATGGGTAGAATACTTCGAGGAACTCCTGAATAGGCCGGCTCCTATGAATCCACCGAACATCGAAGCAGCACACACAGATCTTCCTATAGATGTCAACCCACCAACGACGGAAGAAATTAGAGCGGCCGTCAGACAAATCAAGAACGGGAAAGCAGCAGGACCCGACAACATACCAGCTGAAGCACTGAAATCAGACGTCGAAGTAACCACAAGCATGCTTTACCCTCTATTCAAAAAGATTTGGGAGGAGGAACAAGTGCCAATGGACTGGAAAGAAGGGCACCTCGTCAAGATTCCAAAGAAAGGAGATCTGAGCAAATGTGAAAACTACAGAGGCATAACACTACTGTCAATACCAGGGAAGGTCTTCAACAGAGTTTTGCTGAACCGGATGAAGGATGCAGTAGACGCTCAACTTCGAGATCAACAAGCTGGATTCCGTAAGGATCGGTCGTGCACAGACCAAATTGCAACACTACGGATCATCGTCGAACAATCGGTTGAGTGGAACTCGTCACTATACATCAACTTCATTGATTATGAAAAGGCATTTGACAGTGTAGATAGGAGGACATTATGGAAACTTCTTCGACACTACGGAATTCCTGAGAAGATTGTCAATATTATCCGGAACTCATACGACGGACTACAGTGCAAGGTCGTGCATGGAGGACAGCTGACAGATGCATTCCAAGTAAGGACCGGGGTCAGACAAGGCTGTTTACTCTCTCCCTTTCTCTTTCTTCTGGTGGTCGACTGGATTATGAAGACCTCGACATCTGAAGGAAAACACGGAATACAATGGACAGCTCAGAACCAATTAGACGATCTGGACTTCGCAGATGACCTAGC